AGTCACATGAAGAAAGAAAAGCAGCATTTTATTGATGAGGAAACTGAGGCTCAGAAAAATTTACTGACTTGTTTATGGTCCCATAGTCTGGAATTGAACTCAGATTTTCTGAATGAATGTCCAATGATTTTCCTATGTTATGCTGCTGCCTTTCAAAGATTCCTGAGTTTAGCAAATGTGACCACCACATTTCATAAATTCACAATCCAGTTGGGAAAATAAATAAAGTATATGTGTGTATATATACACATATGCATGTGCGCATATACACAAAGACTACAAAAACATACCACATATATCTGAATTTAGAGATGGTAGGAGTAGTAGTGTGAGGCTGCAGAATGCTTAGAATTGGCTGCCAAAATTGCACTGAATTCATTTTTTCTTAAACTTAAATTTTTCTACTTCTTCCCCTCCCCCTGCTTCCTAAAACGGTAAGCAATTTGATATAGGTTATGTGTGTGCAATTATGTAAAACATTTCTATATTAGTAATTTTGTGAAGGGAGAAACGGAGCAAAAGAATAAAAAACATGAAAAAAATTAAAAACTGTATGCTTTGATTTGCATTCAGACTCCATCAATTCTTTCTCTGGATGTGGACAACATTTTCCATCATGAGTCCTTTGGAATTGTCTTGGATCATTGTATTGCTGAGAAGAATTAAGCCATTCATAAGCTGATCATTGCACAATGTTGCTGTTCCTATGTACAATGGGGAACAGTATCTTCCAATAGAGGGGATTGCCATATGTAAAACATGGGTTGGTGGATAGATTCAGAGAATGAGAGCTGGAAGAGACCTTACACACAGAATACTAGCATTGAAGAGGATGTTGGCACATAAAATGTTAGAGCAAAGAACATAAAGAGGGAACCTAAGAGATAATCCTAACTCCCTCACAAAAAAAAACAAAACAAAACAAAACAAAACAAACAAAAAAAAACTGAGGACCACAAAAGGAATGTCTTACCTAATGTCATACAATCAGACTCACTTACCTTTCCAGGATAGTTTTAGTATCAGAACTTTGACCTGGATCTCCTTATTACTGCTCTAGTACTAACTGGTCCACAATGTAGGTATAGGTGTGATCACATGGGCACCTGGAATCTTTTACCTGAACAAGTATCAATTCACCTCTTTTCATGAAACTTCCTAGCACAAAGCCCTGCATTTGTTTGTTGAATTAAATCTCTCTGAATTCCCTCCAAAATGTTGCCTTTGAACATTTAATACCTGAGGGTACTGATTTCTTATGGAAGGTATTGTTTTCTGCCTGTCCATTTTTTTCCCCCTGAATACAGTGTCACAAAGAGCCACATGCTAGTCTATAAATAAGATCATGATTATGTGTTCTGACATCATAAATATGAAAATTCATGCAGAGTTAAGCTGAAGGTTGACATCTGAAGATAATGGTTAACATTTTCTACTAAGTAGGTCAAAGGTAGGGCCTCATTGACAAAAAGTGCAAGGAAATCAGGAAATGTTTCATTGAAGCAACATCCTGCCATTTTTCAGTATGCAAGTGGCCAAGTCAATTAATATTTATTTACTGGGAGTCTGTTATGGGCACACAGCACAGGGACATAACATAATGTCCAAGGCCTACCAGGAAAGAAGCATTTTGTCATACTCCTGTTAATCACCACTATGAAAACCCAGTGAGAACAAATCCAGTAGGATTATAAATTGGTTTGACAAAAAGTCATTAAATAATTACAACGATAGTTAATAACCCACATCTATAAAGTGTCTTATCATTTTTCAGCACTTTACAACTATTATCCTAGTGTCTTTTAAACATTTTGGCCACATTACACTTAGGGGATTGTAATACCATGAAGGAATCCACACTTGTCAGTCCAGGGTTCAGAAGGGGAGAGATATTGGGGAATCCTTGAACAAATGAAACAAATTAAGCCTGTTTTTACACTGAAAATTTATCACATGCAATAAGTGTTTTACATATATGCTACCATTAATATATTAAACATGAACAAAATATCATTTAAAATATTTTAGAGAGTATACCATCATTATTATTGAGATATTTTTATTGAATCATATTACATGTGACATGTAATAATAGCATTCTTGGGAATTTTCTTTTTCCAGCCTCATAGCAGTCACATGAAGAAAGAAAAGCAGCATTTTATTGATGAGGAAACTGAAGCTCAGAAAAATTTACTGACTTGTTTATGGTCCCATAGTCTGGAATTGAACTCAGATTTTCTGAATGAATGTCCAATGATTTTCCTATGTTATGCTGCTGCCTTTCAAAGATTCCTGAGTTTAGCAAATGTGACCACCACATTTCATAAATTCACAATCCAGTTGGGAAAATAAATAAAGTATATGTGTGTATATATACACATATGCATGTGCGCATATACACAAAGACTACAAAAACATACCACATATATCTGAATTTAGAGATGGTAGGAGTAGTAGTGTGAGGCTGCAGAATGCTTAGAATTAGCTGCCAAAATTGCACTGAATTTGAGTTTTTACAAAAAACCAGATGGTTAGGTAGATTTTGAAACTACATGGCATTTCTTTAATGCAAGAGTAAACTCTATTATGAATGAAGCTGTCACCCTGAATGGCAAGCTATTTGATTTACTGTTATTCACCTTCTACTTTTCCCAGTTCATTTAAATCGTTTCAGATAAGCTAACACTACTATGGGTATGTAAGTCTCTGTTTAAATCTTTAACAATGCCATATATAAAGGATGTGAAAGACAAAAAGAGAGATGAAAAGAGAATGCAGGAATTGGCTTATAGAGAAAATATAGAAAATAAACTGTTGATGTGAACAATTAAACTCCAAGTAATTATTTAATAGAAGACACAGGATACAAGGTCTTTATCTTTACTAAGATGATAGCATGTCAGAGCCAGAAGGAATCTTAAACAAAGAATGTTAGACATGGTGAAAAATAAAACAAAACAATATCGAGCTCCTTTAGTCCAGGGGTTCCTAACAGGTTTTGCATCTTGGAGTTCTTTGGCAGGCTAGTGAAGCCTGTGGACCTCGTCAAGACCAATGTTTTTGTCGTTCATTCATTTCAGCCTTGTCTGACTCTTCATGACACCATTTGGGGTTTCCTTGGCAAAGACACTGGAGTGGTTTGCCATTTCCTTTTCCAGCTCATATTACAGATGAGGAAACTGAGGCAAACTGGGTTAACTGACTTGCCCAGAGTCACACATAGTTATGTGGCTTCAGATGAGACTTCCTGACTTCAGGTCCAGCATCCTGTGCCACCTAGCTGCTCCAGCACATCAATAAAATATATAAGATTACAAAGGAAACTAATTATACTGAAATTTAGTTATCAAAAAAAAATTTTAATCCTGTAGTCTAGTTCAACCCCTTTTAGAGATGATAAAAGGGAGGTAGAGAGAAGGAAGTAACTTGCTAAGCACATAGTCCATGTAGTAGTAATAGCAGCAGAATTTGAGGAGGGTGGTTGGGGCCAAAAGCAATTTAAGAAAACATAAGTCAAAACAACACAGATTCTCGATCCAGTATTCATTCCACTACACCACACTCTGCCTTTACTAAAGATGTTCAGAGTATCTGATAAATTCTTGCTGTACCTTGCTGACAATTTTGTCTTTCATACAGTGAGCTCCTTGTCATTGGATATGTTCAAGGGAAAACCATTCTGTCAAAGATGGTGTAAAAAGGATTCTACTACTAGATGGTGTGTGTGTGTGTGCACGTGCACGTGCACATGCACATGCACATGCAGAGGGGAGGATGAAATAGATACTTTAGAAGTTAGTAACAAATCTGTTATAGAGTTGGAAGGGAATTCTGAGAGTATTTAGTGCAAACACTTTCTTGACAGGAATACCTTCTACAGAATTGCTGACAAGTAGTACCAGAAGGCTAAGGGAGGCAAGTAAATCCCAGGAAGTCAGCCAACAGCCAGGAATTGTATAGTTACTGAAGGGATTAGGATCACACAGAAGTAAGGAAGACAGGGCACATATTGCAAGGAAAGGGCCCTGAAACTGAGGAAACCCACCAGCTCAGCCTCAGTTGCCTTAATTTTCCTCTCCCTCCAAGAAGTCCCAGTACTTCTTGACCCTGGCTTAGAGGCTTACAGAATGAGAAGGGAAAGAGGTAGTTGGATAATATGAACATGAAGGAAAGGATATGGGAAAAGAGAAAAGACACCTTCCTGACCCCCAAGCCTTAGCATATTACCTCCCAATAAAGTCACATGATCAACTTTCCCTACCACTCTACTCTCCAGTCAAACAGGATCCACCTAAAAGTAGGAAGAGATGGTAAGGGAGGTTCTGACCAACTAACATCACGGATGTGAGGAACAAAAATGATGAGAAAACACCTTGAAAAGCAGAAAGCTTTGTACAAATGTGTGGCATTATGAATGTAAGGTAGAGGTACAAAGATTTAGAAGTGGAAGCTATCTTAGTGGTAATCCAATCCACTTTCCATTATATTCACATGAGGAAAATGAGCCCAAAGAGGTTAATAGACTGTACGCAAGTTCACACAAGATATCAATAGCATAGCCACAATTTGAACCTCATGAGATCTTGACATCAAATCCAAATATCTTTCACTTCACCATGATACTATTATCGTGGTGAAAGAGAAAGGGAAAGAAAAAAGGGAAATAAGTTAAGCTTTGAATCCTGGCTCTACCATGCATCACTTAGGTCCCTTTGGGTAAGTCAAGAAACATATCTGGGTCTTCAGTGCATGCTCAATCTCCTCCGAGACTGAGACCTTTTGGCGACCCAGATGACAGACTGCTAGGCAGCCCCTCCAGCCTGCTGGACGCTGGACTCTGCTGCAGGCTCATGCCTCCTGCCGCCTCCTCGTGTTTTCCTCTACGGTCCCGGGCACATAGTATGATGATTAGGTGTTCAGTTTCCCAACAACTTTCTATAGAAAATCAAGGGAAGTGGACCACGGTTGCCATGAGTAACTTTGAAGAGCGGGACACCTTTAGAGAAACTCGATCAAGGTGCCATCATCGTGAGACCCACCAAATCAGGACTCCGACAGAGTTCCTCTATCTCGTCTTGCTCAATCAGTGGAGGCTATCTTTCCATTTCTCCTTTGCCTCCTGGGAAGTAGCAGAAAGCCAGCATCATCATCATTGGATTTAAGCCTACACACGTGCCCCCAACAGCCATCATAAAGTTCCTTGGGGCTGGCACCGCTGCCTACATTGCAGACCTCATCACTTTCCCCCTGGACATGGCCAAAGTCCAGCTGCAGATTCAGGGAGAGAGCCAGGGAGCCATCAGAGCTTCCTCTGCCACTGCCCAGTATCAGGGTGTCATGGGCACCATTCTGATCATGGTGAAGACTGAGGACTCTGGCAGCCTCTACAATGGGCTGGTGGCTGGGTTGCAGCGCCAGGTAAGTTTTGCCTCTGTCCAAATTGGCCTCTATGACTCTGTCAAGCAATTCTACACCAAGGGATCAGAGCATGCAGGCATTGGGAGCCGCCTCCTGGCAGGCTGCACCACAGGGGCCCTGCCAGTGGGTGTAGCCCAACCCACAGATGTGGTGAAGGTACGTTTCCAGGCCCAGGCTCATGCAGGTGGCAGCCAGAGATACCAGGGCACAGTGGATGCCTACAAGACTATAGCCTGAGAGGAGGGGCTTCAAGGCCTATGGAAAGGAACTTCACCCAATGTTGCCCGCAATGCTATTGTCAACTGTGCTGAGCTGGTAACCTATGATCTCATCAAAGATGCCCTCCTGAAGGCCCACCGCATGACTGATGACCTTCCATGCCACTTCATGTCAGCCTTTGGGGCTGGCTTCTGCACCACCATCATTGCTTCCCCTGTGGACGTGGTCAAGACGAGATACATGAACTTTGCTGCAGGCCAGTATGATAGTGCTGGCCACTGTGCCCTCACTGTGCTTCGGAAGGAGGGACCCCAAGCCTTCTACAAAGGGTTCATGCCTTCCTTCCTCTGCTTGGGGTCCTTGAATGTAGTGATGTTTGTCACCTATGAGCAACTGAAATGGGCCCTGATGGCTGCTCGCATTTCCCGGGAAACTCCTTTCTGAGCCCTCTCCTGCTAGCTTTCTATTTGATGCCTGTCCCCTTTGAGTCTGACCCCATTCTGCCTCTCCTCCCTCTTATTTTTCCCCTATTCCTCTCCTCCCCTGCCTTAGCATTGAAGGATTCCCCTACACTCCTGCTTAGAGTTAGCCCCATTTAAACCTTCTCCAGCCCGCTTCTCCTGCCATTGCATCCATTCTAATGGATGCAATCCTCCATTCTTAAGCTCCTTACTTCTAATAAAGCCAAACCAGAACCCCCACCCCCCCCAAAAAAGAAAGAAACATATCTGGGCCTCAGTTCTTCATCAGAAAAATGAAGGGTTGGACTAGAAGATCTCTAAGCTCCCTTCTAGTTCTCTATCTATGATTCAATGACGTCTTAAGGACCTTTTAAGTGTTTCAGAAACTTGATGGTACTTTGAACGAAAACTGACCCCAGCGTGTCTGTAATGTACAACCACTGTTTCCAGGGCAGCAAAGAGTTCTAAGTTAATGGTTACCAGAAGAGAATGAAGTGAACCTGGAGAAAAGATGATCTAGGTGGGAGGGAAGGAAATGACAAGCTAGAGCTCACCTAGAATCAGTGATTAAGACAAGGAGACACCTTGGATTCTTCCCAGCTCCCCCTGGTCCACAATGACCTTTTAACTGGGACCTCAGAGAGCACTTATTTTTACACTTTTCTACTTCACTTACTCCATAAACTGTATTGTACTCATCTGAGTTTGTGCTTAATCCCCTGGCGAACTCTATGAAAGCAGGGACTATATTTTATCTAAAATCTATTTCTTCATTGCCTAGCCCAGGGTTATGGGCAGGCATGGAAGGAAAGTAGACAGGTAGAGGAGAAGGCAGTCTGGATTAAAGGAGACATGAGAGGTATCTTCAAATGTTAAAATGGTTGTTGTGTGGAAAACATTAGATATAAACCTTAGAAGGCTTAAGAACTCTGAACAATGTAATGACCAGCTGAGAAGATGGATGCTATAGCATGCCCCCTGTCTTGAGAACAGAGGTGTGGACTAGAGGCACATGTTGGGTACAGTCAATGTATAAAAATGTTTGCTTTATGCTTGTGTGTTACAAGGGGGGGCTTTTATTTGGGGGTGCTTTTGAATGGGGAAAGTTATTGTGAGGAGAGTTATTGGATAGTGATGTTGAAGCAAAACAAGGAAAGAAAAGAGCATCCATGAAACATTAAAAATACACAGATGAGAGCAGAAGGAAACTCAAAAGCAAGCAGACAAGCAGGGCAGTATTGTTATTATTACGTTAAATTTAACACAGCTACTGGAAAGACACTTTGTAATAGTTTACAGTTTCATATTAAATTAACTTTTCTCTCCTTTGTATATTGAAATATTCATATTTGTTGACATTTATTAAATTCATAATAAAAAGAAAACCGGTATAAAAAAGGGGGGGGCTTAAATTTGTTCAGTTTTATCTGGGAGGGTGGAACTAGGAGCAAGGGAATAGAAGTTGCAGAGAGACAGATTTATACTTAATAAGGGAAAACCTTCTAATTCATGACAGAATGAATTTTGGAAAAGAAAGGAAAAAACCAACCTGCATTGAAAGGTATTACCTCTTTAAATTTCCTATTGAGGACAACATCTAGGAACTAGTTCTTTGGGTCCCCATACTGAAAGAGGCATCACAGAAAAGCGAAGGCCTGAAAAAATAAAAAACCTGACAAATGGGCCTTTTTTCTCCCAGTCTTCATCCATAGAGACCCTTTTGCAGCAATTGGAATGGCTGAATAACTTCTCCTTCTAGAAATTCTTTCTAGGTTTTTATAATATTGTTGTTATGAACTGACAGATAATTCTAGGTTTCCTTTGCTAGTGCTCCCACCATCCAGGTCATGCTCACTAATTGATCACACAAGGTTCTGTCCCATGCCCTCTTTTCTTCTCTCTTTAGACTGACTCACTTGGTAAAATCATCAGCTTTAATGGGTTCAAATATCCTTTAGCAGATGACTCTCAGAACTATATATCTAGCCCTAGTCTCTCTCCTGAGTTCCAGCCCCACATCACCAGGCCTGAATAATCATATTAAGTTTGAATCAAAAGATTTCTACTGTGGCAGAAATCCTCCATAGCAGGCATAAGCAACCTCTGAATGGTGGCAGATGTCAGGTTCTGAAGCTCTCAGGGGCACTAGGATGAAGTACAGTGTGGAGATTGTGTGGATGTCAATGCAAGGAAAGGACAAGTTTCTTATAAAATAGGACCCCTTGCCTTAATCTGAGGTGCTTGAGGCAATAATATCAATGATATCTGACATAAAGTAATAGTTTGCTTAATTTATATAATAAGATTACTATTCACAAAGTGCTTCATGGATGTTTCATTTGATCCTCACAACTCCACAAGGTAGGCAATTCAAACATTGCCTACATATCCCTTCTTTCCAGATGAGGAAACTGGAGTTCAGAAAGGTTTTGTGACCTCAATTGTATTCAACAAATAGTTAAATAACTATCATACAAAGCAATAATGTGAAGGACTAAAGATAGAAAGATAAAAAATGACAAACTTTGAGCTTGCAAGGAGTTTATAATCTACTACAGTAAGGGTAAGTGAATGCCACATTTATACAAATAAACATACTGTAGAGTGAGACAGGAGCAAAAGAGTTAGTCAAAGTTTTCTGAGAAAACTTAAGAAGTAAGAATAGGAAAGGCTTCCTAGATGAGGTGGTACCTGAGACGAGTCATGAAAAAGGGGAAGTATTTCAATAAGTAAAGACAAGAAAGGAACAGATTACAGGTACCAGGTATAGGGGGTGGCTCATTTGATGAAGGAAGGAAAGACAAAGCAGAATATCTAGGAACATAGTACATAGAACATAGACTAGAAAATAATGGTTCTGATGGGGAGAGCAGTATCAGACAAGGCTACAAAGGTGAGCTGAAGCTGAACTTGAAGGGCCTTAAATGCTAAGACAAAAAGTTTATGTTTTATCATGGAGGCAACAATAGGTTCACAAAGCTAGTAAATGGCAGAGCTGAGACACAAACTAACTCCTAAACCGTTATGGAGTAGGCCTAATTCTCCAGTAGACTCACCTAAGTTGTCCTATCAAGTTTGATATATCCTGGGCACATTTTCTACTCAAAGTGCAAAATGAACTCCATTTCTTGGCCTTCTTGCAAAAATAGACACACTTGCAATGATAATATCTGATTACCATCCAGCTCTGAGAATGTTTTTAATACTTAAGATCTGACAAGGCTCATACAACACAGAGACAGAATGCTCAGAATATCCTGGCAATATTGGCTCATGGAGCTGTGATTTCTTTGGGGCGGTGCGGGGACTTGAGCAATGGGTGGGTTAGAGTACTCATCTAGTTGTAAATTGATTCTTTTCCCCAAAACAGACCCTATGCCTATTTTATTTGGCCAGTGTTGATTAATTAGTAAATACCTCCTCAAGAAACATAAGATGATGATGATGATGGTAGTGAAAGGTATTATTATAGTAACAAGATTTATATAGCACATTTCAGTTTTCAAAGTGTTTCTTGTACAAGTATGAAATAAATGCTTGTTGAATGAATGAATAAATGAATAGTCACTTAATCTTCACAACCCTGATAATTAGATAGTATAAATATAATTCTCTTCATTTTACAAATGGGGAAACAGGTTCACAGTAGTTAAATGACTTGCCCATGATGATCATGGCCATGCTCCAGTGTTGGAGCTGGGCTTCAAATATAGGTTTCCCCCAATTCCATTTTCAATGCCTTTTCCACTACTACATGCTGCCTCTCAGTGAAGTTTGGTATAATGAGAAGAGCAGTGTGCTTAGGATTAGGAGAAAGAGGTTCTTAATAGTTCTTCCATTGACTTCGGGTCAATTGTGTCTTCTCTCTGGGCTTCAATTTCGTGATTTGTTAAATAGGCAGGTGGGACTGACTAGGCGATTCCTTCCAGCTCTAATTTTAATTCGACAAACATGCATTAAGCACGTGCTATATTCAACACACTTGAGGTCGACTCTTAGGGAGTGTGTTGTCTCATGGGCTGAAAGGGTTCACAACTAAATAAATGCAATACAAAACAGAGTGAGACAAATGCAGATGAGAGAATAGGCAAAGAGCTAGGATTCTACAGGATAGGCAGCTAAGGACAGCATTAGCACACAGCCTGGGTGGGAGGGGAGCATGAAGAAGGGGGCCATTTCTGCCTTCTGGCTTCCCTAGCTTCCTTCAAGTCCCAGATAAAATCTCACCTTCTACAAAAAGCCTTTCCAGATACCTCTAAATACTAGTACCTTTCCTCTGAGATCATTTCCAAATTAACCTCTCATGTTAATCTTGTTTGTACACAGTTGTTTTCATGTTATTTCCCCCATTAAACTACAAGCTGATTGACAGCAGGAACTCTCTTTTGCCTTTCTTTGTATCCCCAGCGCTTAGCACAATGTCTGGCAAATAGTTGGCACTTAATAAATGCTTACTGACTGACTGAAATGAGACTATTAATTATTTAATAATAATTATTATTATAGCACTTGAGATTTGTATAGTTCTATGCTGCTTTCATCCATTATTTGATTTGATCTTCACAGCCCTATGAGGTAGGTAGTATAAATATTGTCCTCATTTACAGATTAAGAATAGAAGGGCAGTATGGTATAGGAGAAAGAGCACTGGATCAGGAGTTAGAGGACCTGGTTTTGAGTCTTAACTTTGACACTTTTTAGCTGTCTTTACTTTGGGCAAATCACTACCTATCTCTGGGCCTCTGTGTCCTAAGCCGTTGAATGCGAGGGTGAGTTGAGAGCAGGGGCTGTTAATCTGGGGCTCATGGATATGTTTCAGGGAGTCTGAGAATTTGGATGGGAAAAAAATTACCAAACACCTAAATAAAATTTAGCATTTGCTTCCACTATGTTTAAAAAACATTATTCCATAGGCTTCACTAGACTATCACAGGGGTTCATGATATACAAAAAGGTTAGGAACCCCTGAACTACAGGATCTCT